AATATATGACTCTCCTAATTGCAGAGCACAAGCCTCAGAGGATTTACCTATTATGATAAATGGCAAAATGTCTCTGGTGGTGTTTTATTGAGCAGTAATATATCACAGGGCACATCTTCCTGAACGCTGGGAGAGCTCGGTTTGCAACACATCAGCCTTCATCCAGCTCTGCTAAAAGTTCCACCTTCGCTTAGAGAGTATTTCAAGCATGAAAATCAATGCACATCTGTGCTGCTTTAACCTGAAATCCCAGGCTTCACTTCCCCTACAACTTTATATCCTCCCCTTCCCACACCTCCATATGTAAATAAACCACAGGTTTTGAGCCAACTTCTTTCTCAGCAAACTTGCACTTCCTCACAATGCTCATCCTGGCTGAGGAAACACACACGGGTTCTTTGTGCGCAAGGCTACCTCAGAAAGGCACCTGTTAAGTCTTGCTTTTAAGGAGGGGGGCTCCAGAAATCTACCCAACAAAGTGTAGTTTTGACTATTTGCCAGAAAACGGGAAGGCTACATCTATTTTGCATAAAATGAAACAGGATCATACAGCTGCTCTTACCTTAAATAAAAGCGCAGCCTAATGAAACCTCAAAATTCAGCCAAAGCAATACAGTGCCGTGGCAAACGACACAAGTAATTCCAATGTACACAAAGAGGACGGGACCTTAACATCTGTCAGAGGGAAAATCATCTGCCAAGCATCTGGCTTGAATCAGGAGGGTGGTGGGAGTTACCTGCAGTCATTGGAGAACGTGCAAGGTAATTGAAAAGCTGCTGGCATTTTTCATTTCCCCGCAAGCATTGCTCCCTTTATTGTAAATTGAAGGTAACATGTCCTGTCCTTTCCTCTCAGACGTACAGCACTTCACTCTGCGGCCCCTCGTCAAGGCAGACGGCATATAACACGCCAATCACTCCTTCCCTATCCAAATTCCAGCCTCAGTCCTCGCATTGACTGAAGCCTGCCAGTGTCGGATGTGAGCTGGGAGTTACTTCCTCCATCCTGGCCTGCGGTGCTTCAACTCCGAGCTCTCTTGAGTTGCATCCAGGCTCGTCTCCAGAACAAACTGTCTGGAAAAGCACCCTCATTTAGGAAACTGTAAAAATAGAAGTTCTCTATCTGACATTGCATGCCTTTCAGGGAAGGACCATAGCAAGGGAAAAAAATGAAAAAAAATCAGCTTTCTCCTTCCAGTTCCACCAAAAAGTCCTTCTATAATGTCCTCTGGAGTCAAAACAGAGATGGCTACATACATGGTCCCAGTATTTACATATAACAACAACATATGTTGCTGAAGATTAGAACAAAATCTTCACTAGGCAAAAAGACAAGTGTTCTTCCGTACAAAAGAACTGCTTCAACAGGGATCTAATGAAATGTCCAGTGTGAACATGTCACTTAAGTTTTAATTCTCCCTAAGTTTTCAGGCCAAAATTATGATCTATGGATCCCGCATGCATAGAGCTGGCTGAGAATTTCATCCTCTCAAGATAAAAGTTTATACGTGCACATGTATAAATCAATTATGCATATACATAAATTATGTAAAGAAATATGTATCACTGTATGTATGTTTTTGTGTTGTATACTTGTGTGTGTATATAGACACATTTCTCTATTGGATCAGGACAGAATCTGAAATCCTACATTTTAAACAAAATCCAATACTCCATTCAGAACACGTCACATGCCATTTTATTTGAATTAGTCTATACTCCAACTCTTAAAAAGAAACTTCCATAATTGAACTGATAAAGAAAAAGCCTGAAGTTCTCATTTTGAAAACCACCCGGTAAAGTAAATTAAAGCTACACAAAGGAGGTTTTCAACTTCCCAAAACAGGCCGAGTCCTCCCTCTTCCATGTCTCTCCCTCTCCTTCCTTATTCTGTCCACTTACCAATGTAAAATGCTTGTACAGTTATTTTCCCCTTATAAACAAAGACAGAGACAACTCCTGTTGTAGCACATGAAAAACTGCATTGGGAAAACCACTGAAAAGTAGTAGTTCAATGAATTGGAAGAGATACGTCAATTCTCAGTGTATGACATTAAAGTAGACACAGGATAGGGACATGAACTCTAATATCTACCCAAAACGTAACATCACGTGGCCCCAAGCCAGGTGTAAGAATACCCAAACACACGGTGTCTTGGAGAGAGAGAGAGAAAAAGAATTATTCTTAGACATTCAGTGCAACATTTAGGAACAGCCTAAGTGGGCGCCTTGTAGTAATAAGAGTCTGGGGATACTCAAGAAATGCAAAGACAAGTTTTTCCAAATAGTCTGGACAAAGGCAACAAAAAACCCCCATATTTCTGTCTGATGCAGGGCAACAATATTTCACCAACAGGAAATGACAGCAGAGGTCAGCTATTTCTAGACTCTTACTTCTAGATCCAGCTTCAGCTCTACCACGCTACCACGCTGTCCATTCACAGAAGAACAAATAGGATTGCTTGATTACTTGCACCAAGTGTAATCTGCAGACATTAGGAAGGGGAATTACTGAGCAAGTGTTTCCATATGAAGTTGCAAATGCTCCCCATAGCATTTCAATGCGAGACATGCCCGGCTCTTCGTCGCTGCCAAAGGTGGTGAATTAGGAGGCATTACATTAGCTGTTCCTTCGCGCCTGCTCCTGGCCACCAAGTTAATCATTCCAGTCATCACTCGAGAAGTACCCGATTTGCAGCTACGAGGAGAAACTGGTTTCAAAGTAATGGCTCTCAACAGACTTCCCTTTCAAAGCACTGAAAGGTTCTCTCTGCCATCAGTTTATAAGCCAGGATATTACAAAGCTTGTGAACACTTCAAAAGCTTCCACTGAAACACAAGGCCATCTGCTATTCACATTTTAGGATCAAAGGTGGTTCAAGTAGCTTAAACGTTGAGTTGACCAAAACCACGTACAATTCACCACAGAGAAAATTATTTCAAAATTATGGTTAGAACATCAGATTACTGATACCGTCCAGGTAAAACCATAACATACCATTCACGAGATAACTAAAACCTACTTTCAGCGCCTAAGTTTGCTGCTGACTGTATAAAAAGCCTACCAAAAAGTAAAAATAAAACCTGCTGTCCTTAGGTGATGTGGCAAACTGGATTTACAGCAAAGTAAAAGCCCTGCGCTCAGGAGCTTAGTCCAGCTACAGCTAAATAAATGGCTCGGGACAAACAGCTCCTCCTCACATAGCATACCTCAAGGCAGCATGAAGATTTTCGTTTTCTGCCACGGATTCTGACGAAGCCTGTCCCATTAAGCCTACTGTGGCATCTGCAAACAGAAAATCTCCGGCCCAAAGCTATATTCTGAAACTCAAGTTTCCATTGTTTGTGCAGAAGCAGTGCATCATTACCCCAGTGGCTTTTTTATGGTTACTTACATTGGAAGCAGGCCCCCGCTTTAATGCATCACATATGAATTAAATGATCTGCTGTTAAAATGATGACAGAAGCATGAATCTCCCCACTAAAGCTTAGAGAGTGAAAGTCAAACCAAACAAGGCCCAGCAGTTCAGGCCAAGGTGTACTGAGGACACCCGTTCTCAACAGACTCTTGTTTTCCTTGGCACGGCTCTCACGCACCATAAGGCCACGGCCAGTCAAGCCCTTGGCCTCCACTTCACAGCTGTGATTTAAAGTATTAGGAAGGCCTGTGATTAAATATTTGTCCGGGTCACCTTAACTCGGGTGCAATTACTGCAAACGTTTTAAAAGAGTACGCAATGCTCAAAAATGTCTCCAGATGCCTTTCCCCACCCGCTGCTTTTCCATCAGCTTCTTCTGTAAATCAACAACGTGGAAAGAAAAATCACCTAAGTCTAGGGCAAGCTTCTGTGACTGCAACATTAACACAATTCCAGTTCGTCTCTGCAATCACAGATCCTTCTTTCCTTTGCCTGGCTCAAACCTGTACAAAAGCATGAACTGTTTAACAGAGTCTGCATTGTCCTTTGTATCGAAAGCAACAGTCTGCCCTGGGAAGTCTCATAAAGGAGTTTTAGCTACTGCCAATCTCTCTAGTCACTCATGACCACACAATATGCCTCCTGTCCTCCACAGTTTATTACTCTGCTCGAGTCACTGATTTCCACAGTCCAGATCTTAAGCAACCGCGATTCATCGGCAGCATGAAGTAGGGAGACGGCAACCTGTGGCAGGTGGCTGGGGCAGCAGCACCTTCACCCAGCCAAGTCGAGTCCAGCAGATTCTGCCTGAACAGTCATCAGTCTGGCACCTTCCTTGCAAAAACAGCTCTCTCAAGAGGAAGTCCAAGTAATTAACACTGGCACAAAACCCTCGAATGTTTAGAAGATGATTTTTTTTTAAAAGAGATTTTTTTTAAATCAGTGTCATGGTACCACAGGAGAAAAATACTAAAGAATGATACTAAAAGATAACTGACACCTTTAAGAACAGATTTTTTAAAATCAGCGTCCTGGTACTGCAGTAGGAAAATACTAAAGAATGATACTAAAAGATAACTGACATCTCTCAGAACAGAAGAACCCCACAGTTAATGCAAAATACAGGTTCATTCACGGTGGCCTAGCTGGCTTTTAAGAGAGACACACAACAAAAGAGGTCATCTTGTATTTTTATAATCCTACTGGACTCTTCCAGTAAGAAAGCGGGCAAATCTTACAGATAAAGATATCTGTCTGGGTAACACATATGGAAATATAAAAAATTTAGGAATACCAAAAGAAAAGCTAAGACTTAAAAGCAAGTCTGAACTCCTACTGAACATTTTATATTTTTAATTGAAAGCTATACTGCCATCAAGCAAAGTTCAAGGGGTTTCCTGGTAATTACACACTTACGCATTAACTGTTTTCACTGGGCTGCATACGCAGCAGGAGAATAGATGTTTATACAACACCTCACAAAATCAACTTTTTGTTCCTGACTGGGGCTACTGGGTATATAAATAAGGAAAGGCATGCCTTGGGCCTGCAGCGTACGCTCGTGCCAATATACAGACATACCTGTCTGGTAAGGCTCCCTCCAAGGTTCATGGTACCAGAACCAGTTTTATTAGTCTGCAGCCACAGCATCACTGTGGAGGTCAGCTTGTAATGAGCAGTACGGCCGCTGGATTTCTCCTAGAAGTGGAAGGATAACAAAAAGGATAGAGACAAAAGGTTAACATCCTTTCAAAAACTAAACGGTGGCTGGCCCCAAGGACCCCACGAGCAACAGGACAGATATGTGTAACTCCACTCACGTAGCACAGACTGTTTCTTAAAAACAATTGTAGGTGTGTACATTCCCCTAATTTTCCAAAGCAAATCTCGTCAGAGCAATTTAACCTCCTATTATCTTGTTTTTATTACCTAATTAGTGATATTTATCTGTAGATGTTTATGTTAAAAAAAAAATAATCTCAGGATCACATGCACAGAAAGTAACATACTTTCAATTCTTCTGGGATTCTTTTTGATTACAGCCCTGACTTATCTCTATCCAAATTGCTTCAGGGAATTTTCAAAAATTAACAGGGGAAAGAAGTTTACAGCCCCTAACACAATATTGCATTGTTCAGTGGAACACCTGTGCTCGTTAATTGTCTGGAATTAACCGGGTTTTGTTTTCACTTAGGAATATTGGCTGCCCCAGAGGCTGTACCTGAACCTCCACCACGTGGATGGAATCCCAGCATCCCTTAATCTTCTTTGATCCATCTCCAGCTTTCTTAATGAGGATCACCCCGGCAAAACCATGATCCAGATCCCAGAGGTAGACAGAGGAGACTCCACCTTCAAAATACCTGCAGGATGCAATCCAATAGGCATGTTAAAAGTAAGCAGGATCCAAGCCAGAGTCAGATATCAATAATAATCTTAAATAAGCAGAATCTCTATATCCTAGTAAAGATTTTTTTTTTCTTTTAAGACGGCACACTCTCACCAGTTATATACCTAAAAACACAGCAGTTTAAATAATTTTGTAATACAGAGACTTTAATTACAAAAAACTGTACATTTCTCTAAAGGAGAATAAAAGTCTAGTGAGAAACAGAGCTAGCTACAGAGCTAGCTACAGATTTCTACAGTACTTGAGCAAACAATTCCTCTGATTCCAATTAACTGTAACAGCTGGTAAAAGCATAAGCTACAAAGTAGGAGAGTAAGGCTCTATTTTACAGTTTGGTCTTTTTTTTTTTTTTTTCTCTCCCCCTTTTCTCTTGCTGTTGGGAAAGTCTGGAAGTTCTTTACAACAAAGTCCGCTAATTAAGACAAAAGGGAGCAAGTAAGTAGCTTTCTGCTGCTGTCTCAAAAGTCTGTGTGAAGCTGACTTACTGATTTATTGCAAATAGCGTTGAACTGAAACCAAGGTTCTTAGAAATGAAGGGATGCTGTCGAGGTTTACATATTACTCCAGCTTCAGATACGGTATACAATTAGGAGTAGGCTAGATTACCTAACTTCCAGGTTTCTGGTAGCCAAAAGTACACTCTTAGCAAACTACCAAAGCAATAACACTAGTCGTAGGCTCCTTATGTGCCAGATGAAAGATGCACTTTAAAGTAACGATAAACAATCCAACCCTGTAGGAAGAAAGATGCACAAGAACCAATTCTGGCCTCTAGAAAACCAAAACTATAATCCACAGCATTTTACCAGCTGTTTCCATTCTCAAGTTACCAAACAGCCACAAGAAGAATCGAGCAAAAGGGAACGACTCTTTCATGGCGCACAACCCTTAGATCTCAGTGATGAACTCATGCTGCACAGAATCACCAGCTCCTGCGAAGAACTAAGGAAAGGAGGAAAGGCAACTTCAGCTGAGCCAGAAGATCAACGATAAGACATTTTAGTAGTCAGACATTTGAACTCTCTTCTGAGCACCTACTGCTATTCTGCAAGTACACACAGAAAGCAGACAAAGCACCTGAGAATTCATTGTCTGGAGGAGAGCAAAAGCTCCTAATCCAAAGACACGAGGAGCTCCTATGATTGACAGTTCCCAGCAGCCAGACTGGGAGAGAGTCACGCAGCTTAAACCGCTCTGTGTTCCTGCCTCTTACTGCCACGAGCGAGACGATCACATAGATCTGCAAGTGACTGCACGTTTCTCCTCTTCTGCAAGAAAGGAAAGTATCACTCATCGCCAGCATGAAAAACTTGTTGAACCCTCCCACCTTCATGCTCCCCTCATTTCTAAACGTGAGCCTGACAGTTGTTAATGGCATTTAAGATTTGATTTACTGTGCATTTTGGACTTCACGTATTAGCTTGAAGTACTGTAGATTCAAGAACACTAAGCCATCCTTTTCTACAAGTCAGGAGAGAAGATACTGGGAAGTTAATGCAAATAACATAGGCAACTTTCAACATTTTCTCTGCACTTACAGATCAGTCCGATATGTTGTTTCAAGAAGGCAGAGTCACGAGAAGAGCCCCAATTCTTTTTAATTGCATGCATCTGAGTCTGTATCAAAACCAATGCTGACCCCAGGAGGGGTATATGACTTCATACTAACTCATCACATCATTTTGATTTTTAATGGGCGACTACTGCTACTCATCACCCAAGCTCAGCCTGGGCATTTAAGTAACCAACACACACAGCACTGTCCTATGACATTTGTCAAGCCACCGATAATACACCATTAAAAAAGGAAAGCCCTTTGCTCCACAGGCATGCTAAAGCCAGACTTCCAGCAGGCAATTTAAACCCAACAAACCAACAAACACCCTTTTTATATCCCCTGGGGAATTCACAAATGGATTTTGGTTAATGCAGTTAATGGGAATTTCAGTCCCACAGCGAACCTCAGTTCCAATCTAAGTAACCCTTCCTTTGACGAAAGGGCAGCATGAATCAAAGGCCAGAGAGCAGAAGCTATTGTCCACCTCCAGACCGAGTTAAAAAAAATATTCATATATAGAATAAGTGAATTCACTCAAAATGAACTGGCAGCCACTGAGAATATTACAGCGTGTACAGACAGTTTCCCCATTACCCACTTTATGAGCTTGCTATGAGCATGAAACATTAATTGAGAGGGTCCGAAACAAGGTTTTTGGAAATTTATTCTTACCTACTGTACTTTGATCCTAATGACATGAAACAGGAAAAAAATAATTTTTATGTGGTTCACCTTTATGAGATTTTACATAAAGGCTTTTGTGGGTATTTTAAGAATGTGCTAAAATGTTGTCTGAAACCACATAAAACCATCTGAAGAACCTCCCGCCAGAACTAACAGTGCACACATGGAAACGCTTTAACTTGCCTTTGTATATTTAATGAATCAAATATAGTATTAATATTGTTTTAAATACCAACATGCTATTTCAATAAAGTTGCTTTGCCATAGCCAGATCCAGTATCTTGAGACTCAAACAATAATGCCAGAGATTGAACCGTTATGAATCCAAGGCACGCCGGGATATACATTAGCCAAAGCCTCCTCTGTGCTTCAGCAATATATAATTACTTCAGAAATTCACTCCTCCTTCATGGGGAGAAAATATATATCGTTGCTCACTACATTACATTTCACCTTTCCTCACACAGCAACTAAAATGCACTGAAGTGGGATTTCTGAACACTGTCTAAACCCAGGAAAGTCGTGTTTGGAGAGGGGAACATTCCTTGAAACCTGTTTTCTTCAAGAAAAATAAAGAAGTGCTACAGGTTAATTGGCTGCTACATAATAGAAAACTGGATGACAGACTGATTGGTAGGAATTTAAATCTACATTCATAAACTTGGATTTGCTGCAAGAAGGCTGGACTACCTCCAAGAAACTCCTTCACCAGAGATTAAAAAGCAGTCCTTATTAAAATCGAAGCAGGAGAGGTAACCAGCTTGGAAAAGGTTTCTGGAAGACATAAGCTGCTATCTTCCCTGCTAAAGAAAGGGATAGGCAAACCAGAGCACAGGCCCATCAAAGTTACATGCAACGGTTGCAGTAAAACATTTTGAAAGCACTACCATAGCTCCTCAATCAAACAGAATTTTCTTTGGTCGCCCGTTCCGGATACCCCTGCTTGTGGTACGACAACAGCAGTCGTAGAACGCAATCTGTCTTCTTTAGAAGCTCGAGTCCTCTCCCAAAGCATGCAAGGTCCAGCACAAAGCAGTCGGCAGGTATTTCTGAGATGTACAAGAGCTCTGACGTAGGAGGAGCACTCCAATTTGTACTGGGGTGCCTCAGAAACATCTCTAAAGGATAAACCATTTTCAAAGGGCAGCAATTCAATGCAAAGCAATCGCTCCTCTTCTGCTTAACGACACTGGATCTCTGCAGGATGTACTCTGGGTTTACCTACAGGCAAAAGTTTGTTATAAAATGATGAAAATACATAGTCCTATGGTTGTCATGTCCCTTTATTAACAGCCAGAACACTGCCAAATGATATCCCTGTCCTCTCCGAGGACAGCCAGTGTTCTTCCATCTCTGGTAAAATCGCTTTTTATAAATTTGCCCAGGAAGGGGATTAAAAGGCGTAAGGCCTAACATAATAATTCATTCTCTTTACAAAATTCAGAATAGCATTTCACTCAAAATCAATTCTAGTTTTAACGTCATGATCAAACACTTAAATTTTATATCCGTTACTCATCAACCACAGAACTCCTGGAAAAAGCTGTTTTATAGAAAAAATGTCACACTTAAGACTGACCTACTTTACAAATGCAAGAATAAAAGAAAATATTTAAGCTAAGAGTGATCCAAAGCTTTATGAAGTGTTTGAAGTTTAAGTGGGTGGAGACACAGGATGGAAACTTGTTTAAGGAACCCGAGCTGTATCCATGAAATAGAGAGACTGTGGCCAGAACAAAGCTGTAACTTCAAGAGGGATGTGATAGGGGAGGAAATCCCCCAGCTTCCAACATAGACCTCAAGAAAGGAGGACAGATTAATCACTTTGTTTTACCACTAAAGGACAGACCAGAAAAGGCACCGTAACTTTCCCGATACCATTCTACTTCTCGCAAGCCTTGCAAATGAACGCTGGACCCAATACTGAGAAAATGAGTTTCCACCACACAGCAATAAAAACAAGCTATGGCTTTCAATTACACTTCAGAACCAAATCAATCAACCATAAAAACACTTGTGTATTTTCCAGTAAGTAACTGAGAGCCAGAGACACTGGGTGGGTTCTTCTATCTGGCTTATGGCTCTCGCAGCACTAAGCCACAAAACCCTGATGCCAAACTACCAATACCTGGAACCTCAGGCTGGCTATGCAGACCTTCAGGAGTTGCACAGTATTTCAAGCTGGCTCATTTAAAGCAGCAAAACAGGTTTCCCGCCCCCCGCCAAAGGTTACATAGCTATTTCTTCCAGCTACAGAAGTTCAGCGTAGAAAGGGAAATGTCTCCATCTATTTAGATCAACAGACTTCTAAGAAACCTGTCATTTAAAAAACCTACCCCAAAGGAAAATATTGAGCATTCGGCTACAAATGTTTTTACAAGAGTGACAATGACTAAAGCCACAATCTGAGAAGCTAGTGTCTAATAGCAACCCAAAAACATTACCCAAAAGACTCGGTGAGGAAGCAGACATTTCAACTATTATTAAAAGAGATGACTGTAATGGCAAGTGACTTGGCACAATTTTCACCGAGTCCTTCCCCTATGCCTGCACCCTGTCATTTCAAACCAGCACATAAATAGCAACAGAAATATGAATGAAGTGGCAAGTTTCAGCAACCCACCCTCTACCAAACCCAAAACATCGCTAAGGTGTTCACTCAAATCATCTGCCATCTTGTAGCTCAAGTGAGGGGAACAAAAAGGCTTCAG